CACACAGAGAATGAACAGCCTTCCCTCATTTGGTTTGACAGAGGAAAGTTTTATTTGACTTTTGAAGGTAAGTAGTGCATAGCATACCAAAGAACCTGCCCCATCCTTCCCCCCCCCTGCCTGCAGTTCCGCCTGCATAGTCTAGATGCTTTCTGATGAACCCCTAACCTACTGAGGTGGGGGTTGGTTAAGCTTGCTTTGCGGTCACAGCACATGGGCACTTTCTGCCATTTGTCAAGGTCAAAGGTCACATTGTTGCATCTTCCCTTTTCAGCATTGCCAACTCATCTATGTAATTACTAACATATCTAAGTTATACAAGTACCATAGTTGAGGTGAACCAGTGCACCAGTAGCTTCTACTTTCCTTCTGCTTTTGGTCTCCAACTGCTCCACGTTGCTGCCAGGAGTGAAAGGAAGTGCTGGCGGGTATGTGTAGCATGTGACTCGCCCCTCTTCCTCATGTACCAATTCTGGTGTTCGGCTGTTCACATGGGTTCAGGAGACTGTCCTCAGCCCAATGTTGGCGCTTCAACGGGGGGTTTTCTCTCCATGTCCAGCAGCTATATGAAGCAGTTGGGGGAGTAAGTATATGCTGTTGGTTGGGCGCAATAACAAATGCATAGGCAAGGCACAGGTTTCCTTTAAGGACCTTTTAACCATTTAAAAGCCCTGCAAAAAAAATGGGATTTATACTCACCTGTCCTGCCCTTGTTCCTCAGATCTTTACTCTGTTCAAGAACTGCAGCCATTGGCAGTATCTTCACATCCGATGCACTTCAAGTGCACGGCCCCCCTCTGTGCGCTGGGGTTCCATAAGCAGGACACAGTAGTGATGTAGCATCCAGTGAAACCAAAGCACGCCTTGGGGTACCCCAGCATCTGACACACCCAAAAGTGTTGAAAATTCTGCCAGAGTCCGTACAGATCAAAGATCCCTGCGCAGGACAGGTGCAGTACGAACAGTATTAATGCTCTGCTTTTGTTTTGGAGAGAGGGGAGGGGGGGGGGGTGGTGGGGGGGGGTTGCATAGTTTTTAGCAACAGGGTTGCTTCTCCAGTAAGTGCATTATCCTAATTTTTCATTGGCAGAAACTAATCTAGTGTAATTTAACTGTTAGCAAGTGAAGCTTCCAGTCCACATGTCTAACTGGTCATCTTCAGTACCATTTTTCACTTTTTTAAATCGCTGCTGAACTATACACTCAACACAAAGCGGACCTGTGTTTAAGTAGTTTGATCTAAGTTAAAGGAGAACTATGGGGTCAGTGCTTTTCCCCATAGTTCTCCTAAGGGTAACGGGAGGACACAAACTAGCTACAGCTCGCGGTATACTGAGACGCCGCAGCCGGGACGGATCCCGACATTACTGTCGAGATCCACCCAGCTACATGATTGACAGCTGGCTCTAGCATGTGTATCCGCCCCCTCCCCCGTCTGTTCCACCAGTCAGCACTGGAGGATCGGGGAGGGGGAATCTGCTGGGAGGTGACTGACAGTCACGGCTCTCTGCAGGGACAGGATCGAGAAGTGAGCGAGCGACGGTATGTGTTCCCTCACTTCCCGATCTACTGAGCCGACCTGTGACAGTTTCATTGTCACACGTCGGCTAGAACTATGAGGATGAGTGATTTTCACTCCCCTCATAGTTATCCTTTAATGAAATGTTCTATTATAATTTTAGACAGATGGCTATTTTTACATTTTTCCATATGTCATTGACTGTTTCTTCAGAAAGAGGGATCTCTTAAAACATAGCTGTTTCCCCCCCAGTCGTCTCCCAGGACAGCATGTGAGATATGGAGGTAGGAAACACGTCACCAATTAGAAGTTTAAAAGACCGCCTTCATAAAGACTCCTCAGTTTGTGTTTCCTCCGTCCGGAGATGCGTTACAATTTTTTGGAACGTCTTGGGTGGATACCTCAGTCTCTCGCAGGCTGTGCCAGGTCCTTTTTTAACCTTACCTTGCGAAAAGTTTTAACTATTGAACCAATTATTAGATGTTTCCAGAAGAACAGGTCCTCTTTAAGGTCTTGCACTTCATATGTCAGTGCCTTAGCCTGGTTTTCATGGTTCCTAGGTACACTGGTTGCACACAGCATGGAGATATTCTCTCTTATTGTGAATGCACATGTCTGTGCTTGACTGTATGCACCTCAAGCATTTATTTTTGGGGGGATGTCCCATTGGGCAGCAAGATCTAAAGGAGTATGACATTTGAGCTGATTAGAAAACTGTTTTACTCATTAGTGAAACATTTACACCGGCAGGGATGCTGAAAACACTGACAGAATTTCAACGGACAATGAAACAATTTCACTTTTAGACCCGGTGCAGACCTAACCCATCCAGGCTTCTAGAAACAGGATGTCTTGCTGCACTCCTTACCGAAACAACCCCAAAACTGGGTGGGTGCTTGTAGTGACCACGGAAGGCACCGTGTAAATCACAGAAAAGAGGAATAATGTCACCAGCACACCGTTTTTGTAAATCAATAATCCATTTTAATGGCACATTGCCATCCAATACTAGTATTAAAATGGATTATTGATTTACAAAAACGGTGTGCTGGTGACATTATTCCTCTTTTCTAAGCCATCCAGGATCGCGCAGTCCTGCACAATTGCAGGCAGCGAATGCCGCACGGCCCCATTGATTTTCAATGGGGTGAAATCTGCGTGGCAATCGCAGAAAAAAAGGTAAATTGTTTGCTATACACGACACATGGCTATTTTGTGTACGGATGCACGGGTGGAATCGTGGCGGGAAACCGCGTGATCCGCCCGGCGGGACTGGGGTGCCGTTAGAAAATAATGGCACCCACAGCACGATCGTGTGCGATGGGCGACTCCGTGACCACGTGGCTATCTGCGCAGTATTATGCACGATTGCCGCATGGTCGCAGATCTCCTAGGTGTGCACCAGCCCTTAATTTGTTTCTTTTATTTAAAATACAATTTAACTAAATGTACATCTAAGGCTACTCTGTCCACATGGTGATGATGCTTGCACAGCTTTGTTGCCCTATTACAGGAAATAAATGAATGTACTGACATGATAAACCAATCATAATACTATGTTTCTTGTGTACTGTAGTTAATATAACTGATAGACTGCATTGTATGTTCTTTATTTTTGCCCATAGTTTCACTTTAAATGCAACTGCCATTGGTCACCGGGTTCTGTAAAATCCAAGAGTGTTTTGGGCAATGTGCAAGTAATAACACTGAAACAATTTATTTGGATGTGGTCTTAGGCTGGGTTTACACCTAGGCGTATCGAATATGTGCGTTTGTCGCGCGATTCGCGGTAAAAAACCGCGCAATGAACGCGCGTTTCCGAGGGCTACCTGGCTGTATCCCAATGGATGCGCGTGACAAAAACGCCCCAAAGAAGCTCCTGTACTTCTTTGGGCGTAGGGCGTTTTGTAGCGCGTTCATACGGCCTGTAATACGCCCAGGTGTGAACCATACCCATAGGAAATAATGGGATTTCGGTTTTTGAGGGTTTTGCAGAGCGTTCGAACGCGCTACAAAACTCCCAGGTGTGAACCGGGCCTAATGCTTACCTCTGATGGTTACTTCTAAGTTTAGTCCCGGTGCTCACTTACACTTTCCCCATTGAGATCATGCATCCTTCTGAACTTTTCTCAGCTTATAGTAAACCACTCAAAAATAACCACATAGAACAAGATTTAAAGTATATCTGTTACGCCGCAAAATACCTGTGACTAAGCGGTGATGCGAGCAGTCACTCTCTAGTTTATGTGCTGCGTATCAGGTCTGAGCAAACGAAAACTGAAAATACGCCGCTTCCCCTTCTATCCAGCCTGACATTATACCTTTGCAGTGCACTGTTCAAATCCCTCTGCTTGGGACCACGACAATTGGCACACAGCATCTCCTCCAAGAACGCTTTATTGTTGACACATCTTGCACACCGCGTTTCAGTCTACATGGCCTTCATACAAGATGTGTCAACAATTAAGCATTCTTGGAGGAGACACTGTGTGCATATCAGGTATATGGCTGTGAACTCTACCTCTTTATGGAGTATGTGCCCTAGATCTGGTATGCTGAAAATAAATTGGGGTAGTATCTGCTTCTGTAACATTTAGGGCCTGTGTCAACGTGCTTTTGTTTGCATCAGAAAGGCTTGTTTCCCCATACAAGTCTATGGGAATGCAAAAGCAGCATGAAGCAGGTCAGGATGTGGTCAACTGCACCTGTCAATGAATACTGGAGCATTTCAAAAGCAAGCTCATTGACAAGCCCAAAGCTCGTTGACATGGACCCTTAAAGTGACATTAAACCCTCAGATTTTTTAACATAAACCAATACTGTAATGTGCGCCTTACTGTAATCCATGGTTGTTTTCCTTCTCTTTGCTGCTCTTCCTTTTTAAATCTGTATCTCTTCTCATGCTGGGAGAGAACGTCCCTTTGCAGCTGAGTGCCTCTTCCTGTAGTGCTGGCTCAGGTTGTGAACCTTCACACAGACACCATGTATCCATTTCAGAGACAAGGCAGTCTGCTGCAGAACAGAAGTTCTGCCCAGCATGAGAAGAGATACGGATTTAAAAGGAAGAGCAGCAAAGAGAAGGGAAACAACCATGGATTACAGTTAGGCGCACATTACACTATTGTTAAATGTTAAAAAATCTGAGGGTTTAATGTCACTTTAATCACACTGGTATTTTACTTTTTGGGAACATCTCTTCAACATGTTTTCGGAGTCTACCTTGTAAAATCTGTATTTAAAAAAAAATTGTTACTATGCTGATTCCTAATTATATGTTTTTCTAGCAGAACAAAAAACTGAGTATAGGAATTTAAAGTAAATCTTTACAGACTGAGAAGTGGCAACTCTCCCTGCTGACTTGTGCATAGCTTTGGGGCTGTCCTCTTAATCCTATCTGCAATGCCTAGTGCGTCATTGACCTGGAACAAGCATGCGGGACAGAAGTGGCAGACTTCAGGGAGTACATTGATGTTTTAAGCCAGTGGCTGGCTAGAGTGTGCAGAATGTGACTTCTGTAATGGCAGGGATGTTCAGATCTGGTGACCAGC